GTCAGCTGTACACAAAAAAAAAAAAAAAACCTCTCCAATAAATAAATAAGAAATTATTTTAAAAATTTAAAAAATTTTAGGTATTTTGGAACTAATGTTGCATATATTTATTAACTTTACATAAAATGTCTAAATGTATTTCCCACTTGTACTTCGTTTTATAACATTTAAAGTGTTAGCTATGATCATGATGATGATGAGAGGGTTTTTTTGGATAAGGTTTTACCATGTGACTATATTTTCCCAGCCCAGCCTCCCAGTCAGGAACATGCTGCACATCACAGTGCCTAACCTGTTTAGGCTGGGCTGGAAACTCGACCAGCATCTCCCGTGCAGCCTCAGCCATCGTGCAGCAGTGCCCCTCTGGCTAATGACATCCTCTTGCCTGTGTCACTGAGGCTGGGCCAAAAGTATTCATTGTTTTGATGCAATTTAAAGGCTAATCGTAGTGTTTATAAAAGGATTTAGTGTTTTTGAATGCTTGATAGTAACACAATGGCTTGAACTTTTTATTTATGTAATTTCTCCCAGAGAGAGAGAGAGACAGAGAGACAGGCACCACACAGTAGGATCTTCATACTGTCATCCAGTTTGAGCCAGCCAGGATGTTAGCATACCTGGCATGCACAGAGAGACCACAGGACTCGAACCTGAGACCTTACCGTATGGCATCAGTGTGCGGTATTGCATTACCATTACACCACCATGGTTGGCCTGGCTTAAACTTCTACTGCTGAAATATAATTTAGAAATAGAGATGGAAAAATTCATATGTCAGAATTAACATTCTTTATTTCTTTCGTTTATTTGTATAGGATCAATTGGTTAAAGAAGATAACATTGATGCAGTAGGTAAAAAACTGCAAGAATACCATTCTCAGTATCAGGAAAAGAGTAAAGAGTATGATAGGCTGTATGAAGAATATACCAGAACATCCCAGGTTAGTATTTTTTGTTTGTTTGTTTGGGCTATTAAATATACAATGTAACAGTTACATCAATTTTTCTATAATTCACTTGATGATATTTAGTTGTCCTAATATTTTAAACATCTTTTTAGAGACTTTGATAATAAAAATTTCCCTACCACTCATAAATCACTTTTTTTTTTCAAGTTTATGTATTTCTCCCATGCATGAGGGAGATACAGCACTCTCAGTGGGGTCTTAATGCTGTAATCTAGCCTGTCTTCAGCCAGCCTTGTATCGTGGGCAGAGGAGTGCCTGATGTACTCAGGGAGGTCTCCAAACTAGAGCTTCCCATGTGGGATTGCCTCAGAGAGTGGAAGTTTTACCCTGTGCCACCATCTGGCCTCCATGAATCATTTTTTATTGGTTAACGATAAAATTTGTGTCGGTATTAGTATTAACTGGTTGAAAGTGACAAAAATAAAAAAATAACAAAGGCTTCAGATACAAATTTACTTTTCATTTACATGTATATAGGTAGCACAAAGCCATAATATTATGGCCACTCCTGGTCATTAAGATTTATAGGTATGGGCACCAGCAGTTAGCGTAATGGCTACGTTGCTGGACTCCCATGTAGTTGACCGTGGTTCGAGTCCCGGACCCGGTGACTTAAACTCACGCCGGGCGCGTGTGTGTGCATGCCCAATATCCCAAGAGGAGAAAGGAGAAGGGATTGCGGTGTGGCCATCCCCCCTGGGGGGTGATTTCTCGCTTTCTGTCTCTGTCTCTCTCTGTCTGTCTGGCGAGTGCACGCGCCCTATAGCAAAAACCTCTCTAAAAAAAAAAAGATTTTTAGGTGCGTATCTTGGTGCTTTGTTATCTGTGGAAGTTGGATTACTCTTGATATCAGTCATCACAACAATATTGTAGTAAATAGGAGGGAAGGAAAGGAAAGGAGAGAGGAAGGTTACCTATTTTTAGGCAACTTCCTAGGAGTACACACTGCTTTCACTTTTATCTCAATAGCTAGAACTTAGTCACGTGGTCACCCCGAGGTGCAGGGGAGGATCACGTTTTACTTCTGCACCACCATACAGCCCTGATAATGTTTCCGGCTTTTTAGTGTTCATTTTCTATGTCATAGATTTCTTCTACTGTCTTATAGTTAAATTTGCTTTTTATAATTTCTTAAGGTGAAATAAACCAATTTTTGTTCGTTGGTTTTAAAACTTATTTCCTAAAATAAACATTTGTTTCCATCAAAGTATTGTTTTAGGTACATCAAACAAATTTTGTTTTACTGTAGTTTTATTATCATTCAATTTAAAATATTTTCTGATTTCCCGCTAACTTTTTCTTTGTCCCATATGTTACTTAATTTCTAAATGTTTGAGATTTATTTAAATATCAATTTCTAATTTAATTTTGTTAGTAGGCATATTTATTAAGTTCACAATCTTTTTAGATTTATTGACTTATTTTTATGACCTAGCATATGCCTATGTTGGTAGATTTTAAATGAGCATTGACAAAGACTGTATTCTGCAGTTGTTGCTATAGTATGCATTATATATCAATTAGGGCAAGGTAGTTGATAATGTCATTCAGATCTTCTATAAGTTTTACTCTTATTTTTGCTAACTGTCTTGTCAACTACTGAAAAGGAGTATTGAACTCTAATTAAGATAGTAGATTTGGAGTGACCAGCAGATGGTGTAGCGGTTGCCTCACTGGATTCCCACATGGCTGACCTCGGCTTCATAATCACACCAGGCACATGTGCTTGCATGCCGAAGATCCCAGGAAGAGTACGGAGGAGAAGGGATTACAGTGTGGCCGTCTCCCTTGGGGGGTGATTTCTCATATTCCCTCTTACTGTGTCTGTCTCTCTGCCTGTCTCTCTCTGGCAAGCTCACGTGCCCTAAGGCAAAATCCTCTAAAAAAAAAAAAGATAGTAAATTTGGGCCCATCCTGTCTAGCATAGCCATTTGGGCCCAGCCTGTCCAGCATAGCCAGCAGCTTACTGGACTTTGGAACTGGAAGCCATGTGCTGACCATGGTCAGATACCCAGGCCAGTTGACCGGAAAATACACTAGGTATGTGTGTACGTGCTTTGGATCCTAATGGGCTGAATACTGGAGGAAGGGGATTGTGGTATGACCAAGCCCTGGGGAGGGTACTTCTCTCTCTCTCTCTCAATAAAATACATATGCATACATGTATTTTATCATTAAAAAAATGGTTTTTTAGGCTTTTCCTATATGGAGGATGACCGTGTCACAGTCTCTTCTCTTCTATTCTCCTCTCAGAATCTTGGGCTAGCACGCACATGTGCCTGGTGTCTGAGACTTGAACTGTGGTCAGCCATGTGGGAGTCCCACTATGCCAGCTGCGCCCTCACTCCCTTTTTTTTTTTTCCTTTTGCTGTAGGGCACATGTGCTTACCAAGAGAGATGGGGTTGGGGGGTAAGAGGTGAATGTGGGGGATGGAGTAGGAGTGAGAAAACACCCCTCCCCTTCAGGGAGGATGGCCACACCACAGTTGGAGTCCCTTCTCCATGCTCCTGTTGGGATTTGGGGCATACATGCACACAAACCTGGTGTGTTTTTCAAGTGACTGGTTCTGGGACTCAAACTGCATAGTCAGCCATGTGGGATCTAGCTGCCTTAACCACCATGCCTTTGGTTGACACATTCTTGTGCTTTTTAAAATTCAAAAAGTTTAAAAATAATTCTGCAAAACAAATTTAATAGCTGTATAACATTCTCTATCTATGACCATTTCATCATCCGTAACTGTTGACCATTTACATTGATTCTGTCTGAAAAAGCCTTGATAACTTTCCTTTCTGTCCCCAAACACTGGCTCCATCTCAGATAATCTGTAAGAGAAGCTGGAATTTATAATTAAATACACACACACGGGCATACCACAGACACATCATACATATCAGGTAGAAAGAAAACAAGATTATAAAATTACTTTGTGTAAGTATTGAAAGAAAACCTGAACATAACATGAAGCCTTACATGTCATGTTGGAGGATAGGCTAGCAGAGCATTTCTGGCCATCATATTCCCACACTGTTTTAAATCAGGACTCTGATACTCTACCTCAAGGCTGGTCTGTCCTCAGCCTTTCCCATATTAGTTGAAAGCAATCACATCCTTGCTCAGGCCAAAAGCCTTTAAGTTACCCTACACTCTTCATTCATACTTTGCATTCAGTCCCTCAGGAAAATCCTGTTTGTTTTATCTGTATAAACTGAGAATCTCACTCCTCACAGCTAATTCCTGGGTCCAAGCCACTATTATTTCTTGCCTGGATTTAGCACAGGAACCTCCTAACTGGTCCTTTGCCTTTATCTATGCTCTCCTTTCCCCCAATTAATTTTCAACATAGCAGCCAGGGTGATACTTGTAAAGCAGGTCAGATAACAACATTCCTTTGTTTAAAACCCTGATCTGGTTCCACATTTTACACAGATTAAAAGCCAGAGTCCTTTATATGATGCCCAACTCTGTGCCTTCTTCTTCTCTGACCTCATTTCTTACAACTCTCTCACTCACTGTGCTCCAGCTGCATTAACCTCCTTTCCTGTTCCTCAAATATGCTACATCTGCCCCTCCCACCTTAAAGTGTTTGCACTGACTGTTTCTTTGCCTGGAACACTTTTCTCCTAAGTCTGCTCAGATGTCATCATCTCAATGAGGCCTCCTGACAACTATTTAAAATTAAAGTTTGCATTCAGTTCCCCCTTTTCATTCTCCTTTTCCTTTTTTATAATAATTATTATCTTTCAACAAACTATGTCATTTACTTATATTTTTATGTCTGTTGTTTATTGTCTATGTAACTTGCTAAACTATAAGTTCCAGGAGGGCAGAAATCTTCATCTAAGCTTTTTTTTTGAGAGGTTTTTGCTATAGGGCGTGTGCGCTCGCCAGACAGAGACAGAGAGACAGAAAGCGAGAAATCACCCCCTAGGGGGGCTGGCCACGCTGCAATCCCTTCTCCTCTTGGGATCTTGGGCACGCACGCACACACGCCCGGCGTGAGTTTTAAGCCACCGGGTCTGGGACGCGAACTGCGGTCGACTACATGGGAGTCCAGCGACACAGCCATTATGCTAACTGCTGGTCCCCTCATCTAAGCTTTTTAATTCTTGTCTCCCAAATGCTTCAAATAATGCCTGCTCTCTAGTTAGTGTTTATTCAATTATTTGTTCAATGAATTTATGCAAGAAAATGAACCAGGGACAAGACAGGATGCAGCAGTAAAATGTGATGCACTGCAAAGCAGTCCCACATGGGAAGGTTCCTGGTTCAGATCTGGAGACCTCCCAGAGTACACCAAGCACACGTTTGTCCATGATCTGGGGCTGGCTCAAGTCTGGAGACTCTGTTGGGTGTGATCTCTCTCTCTCTCTTTTTTCTTTCTCTCTCATCGATGAAATAAATTGAACTAAAAGCACTTCGCATTTGACCGGATCCTTAGGTCAGACTCAGTATATGACTGGGATATAGGGGAGGATAACCTTCGTATGAACAGAGGCTAGAATAAAATGGCCACTATTGAATGTCACTTTGGCTTTTATAGAGCTGGTTTTCTGCTTTTTTGCCATGGCTGAAGAAAGCAGAGAGAGCTCTATATGCTGTCCACATGTCTAGTAATGATGGAGGATTTAACCACAAAATAGAAGTCATGAGTACCCGCTATGAGACTGGGTACTGGACTTGAAATCCCTGGTTAGGGAGTTAGGTATGGGGGTGGATGGAGACAGCCAAAGAAGCTACTAGGCAGAAGCTGTTACAGAAGAGGGCTAAATTTCTTTATATGAGAATTAGAGGTAAGACCTGGGTAGGAACGGAGCAGAGGAGATGCCAGCCCTTAAAGCTTCAGGAGTTGGGGAGAGGAGAGCGAAGACCCATTGATTAGCAGTACGGGAGATGTGCTAGAAAAATGAGTGTTTAAGAGAGTTTAAAGAGTTGTCATTGAAACGTTTGTTATAGGTTTCCTCTGTCTATCCTGTGAAAATAGGTAAAATCTAGATTGCTTTGGGGTAAGTGAATTCTTCACAAAGAACGGGAAGAGGTGGTATGCCCTCAGAGTGGGCACATGGTGAAAATAGCATGCATATCCGGATATTTGACGCCTAGGTTACATACGCTTTGGAAAAATAGTGATGGATTGGGATAAGGAGAGGAATTTGGCAATGAGATCATTGGTGACCTTGAAAAGAGAAATGTGTGTGGAATGTTAAATACAAAAGCCAGGGTAAAGTGAGCTGTTGTGAATGGGAAGATGAGGAAAGAGAGACAGCCCATGGTAGCCCAGGTAGCATTAAAATAATGCTTACATGGGACTGGAAGAGAATTTAGGATTAGGAGTTTTGTTTTGTTTTGTTTTGTTTTCCCAAAGTGGTGATACTAGAACTTGCTTATATGCCGATATGAAGGAAATGGTAGACGGAAAGAGTTGATGATGTAAGAGGGGTTAGCTGATGGATGGAGTGAAGTAACAGGAAAGGAAAAGGAGATGAGACCCAAAGCACATTAAGATAAAGGGAGGGGAAGGGAAACGAGGGGCGCAGATACAGGTAGGTTTATAGTTTTGGTGGTAGATGCAGTAGGATTATTTATAGGAAACTGCTGATTTGATCGTGATAGCACTTTTCCTTTTGCTGCTCTACCTACCAGCACATATACCAGGATAGTGAAGTCTAAATATTGGTGTTTTCTTTGAAGATCCAGGACTAGAGCTTTAAAAACATATTTATTTATTTCTTCCATGAGAGAAGGAGACACCAACCCCCAACGGGGTCTTGAGATTCCCCCCACCTTTAGCCAGCTCAGGATCATGGGTATATGCATGCCCAGTGTATTCAAGGACATCTCAGAGCTTTATAGATCATTTATTTTTCTTTTCTTTTTTTTTTTTTCCTATGGAGAAAAACAATAAGGTTTTTGCCATAGGGTATGTGTGCTCACCAGAGAGAGAGGGGGAAAGTGAGAAATCATCCCTCATACTAGGCAGCTACACTGCAGTACCTTTTCCCCAATTTTCCTCAGGATTTTGGACACACATGCACATGGGCCCAAAGTGATTTTCAAGCCACCAATGCCAGGACTCAAACCATGATCAATCATGTGCGAGTCCAGCTCCTTAACTACCCTGCCACCTATTGGTCCCTATAGATAATTTCTATCCTTGCACATGAGTCAAGACATTCCACTATTGTTTCACAGTTGTTGGCCCAGCTGTGGGTACAGTTAGTAGAGTATTGATCTGCAGTGCTAGAGGTTACATGGACAACCTAGAGTTTAATCTGGAGTTAACCTGAAAAATACCAAATGCATGTGCACCCAAGATCTTGACTAATGGAGGGCTGAGAGTAGGGCATTGTGGCATGAATTGGCCCCTGTCCAGGGTTCCTGTCTCTCACTCTCTCTTGCATTCTTTCTTGCATGCACTCTTTATCATGAAATAAATAAAATAAAAGCAAGCTAAAAGACAGTTGTAGAATTTGTAGCTAAATGTTTATGGGCATTCAGTAAGTTTTCAATATTATCTGAGATTGATGTGGTATAACCTCAGCCATATGGACCACTACAGAGTTCTAGGCTCATCTGCTTGCTAGCCCTTTCATGTAACAGTCTACTGTGCAATTGCTGATAGCTGAACATGCCCTGTTAGTTTATGTATATCCTTTACCATACCTTCCATGTGCAATGCGTTTTCTTCCTTTATCCCAGTTTATTAAGACCTCCCTCACATCTTACCTCCTCTTTGAAGCCTCTGTAAAGCAATAAATAACTAACTCATTTGGTTGCTTCTGCCATGACAAGAAACCGAATCTATGAGAATTCAGAAATCTATTGTGCCTGTGTATTATGAGTCCTGGAGGGCAGGCTCCATGTTGCACTAGTGGATTCTCAATAATCATTTGTTGAGATTAATAAATGCTGGATAGTTGAGGAATTATCCCACAAGCATAAAAACTTTAAGAAGTGTAAGCATTCAGGATATCGGTCTTTCTAGACTTTTATGCATATTTATTGCCTTTATAAAAAGTAAAATGAACAAAATTTAATCATCTTTGAAGATTTTAGGGAAGTAATAATTTAAATGTTCTATCTCCTGGTGCCCTCAGAGCTCATCAAAAGGTACAGAGCTGTTTACCCTGATACGGAATGGCTTAGCTACTGGGCTTTTGGAGTTATTAAGACTGTTGTGTGGGAGTTTTAGTTTTTCATTTTATTTTTCTTTGTGCATCTGACTTAACAGCCATTCTTTCTCTTTTCACTTTGTGGTTCTAATAAGATTAATTTACTGAAGAATATGTTTGGAAAACCAAGCATAAGAGGGTACTTCAAAAAGTTGGTAGCAAAATGGGATTAAAGTACAAGCTTCTCTTGGTAAAAATAAATTAAAAAACCCCTGAAATCTATGCACTTTTAAAAATAATACTAATTTTTCATGAACTTTTCAAAGACCTCTCATAAACTTTAAAAATGAAAGTAAGAATAAATAAATAGGCTCTGCAGGGCTATTCTGTAAGGCTTTGCACTTTGGTGCATGGATTCTTTGGCTGTAGCCACTCATTTCTTCAGCATCTTTTTTTGGATCGTTTTTAAAGAGAGATTTTTTGCTATAGGGCACATGTGCTCACCAGAAAGATAAAAAGCAAGAAATCATCCTCCCCCACAGCGGGGGATGACCATACTGCAATCCCTTCTCCTTCAATCTCTCAGAATTTTTAGCACACACGCACATGTACCAGGAATGAGTTTTAAGCCACCGGATCCAGAACTTGAACCTCAGTAGACCACGTGAGTGTCCAACAATGTAACCATTATTCCATCTGCTGGTTCCATGCTCAGCTTCTTTTGAGGTTCAGCACTACAATAATAGGTGCAAAGGCAGAACTTGATCTTTGTCTTCAAGATTTAGGTTTGGGACCAGCAGTTGGCGTAATGGCTATGTTGCTGGACTCCCATGTAGTTGACCGTGGTTTCGAGTCCCAGACCTGGTGGCTTAAACTCAAGCTAGGTGCGTGTGCGTGCGTGCCCAAGATCCCGAGGTGCCCAAGATCCAGCTCAGAGGCCTTTTTCTGGCTCTCAGATATATTTCAGGCAGTCCTTTTTCATTTATTTTATAGTTTTTGTTTTGTTTTTTAATTTTATTCATTGTCATTATTATTATTATTATTATTATTATTATTATTATTGAAGTTGACAAGAGAGAGACGGGGAGAAAGAAGGAAAGTGAGAAAGTGCTGCCAGGTTGGGACTTGATCTGTGCTCAGCCATGTGGGAGTCCAGCTGCCTTAACCACTATGCCCCCTGCTGACCCCTGTTTTATAGTTTTAATCATGTATTTTGTGTATAAATAAATAGTGGAATAGGGATTGAATAAGGGTTTTGTTTTAGCTTTCTTAATTGGGTCTTATGTGAGATTATATTCAGAATGGTAAGATTTGTTTTAAGATCTGGGTTACAAAAAATAATAAAGGCAATGCAGTGTATGACTTTTCTTCTTCTCTCCTATAGGAAATACAGATGAAGAGGACTGCAATTGAAGCTTTTAATGAAACAATTAAAATATTTGAGGAACAGTGTCACACACAAGAACAACATAGCAAAGAGTATATAGAACGGTTTCGCAGAGAAGGGAATGAAAAGGAGATTGAACGGTAAGTCTGCTTAATACCTCTAAGTGCATCAGTGAGAGAAAACTTTTTTTCCCTAATAACTCCTATCTTGTCTTCTTCTACCCCCTCAAACTGCAGTCCTGCCATATGGAACTACTTGCTGTTCCACTAATGGCACCAAACTGCATCTCCTCTCTCCTGCGTCCTTTCTTCATCCCCTCAAATTGTTAACTCCTGTTTATTTTTCAGAACTCTGCTTAGACATGCCCAGACCATCTTAGGGTTTTTTTGTTTGTTTGTTTGTTTTTTGTCGGTTTCAGTGTCCATACCATGCCTAGTCCCAATACCTAGTTTAACATTTATGGAATGCTGTGTCCACTTAACTGCAAGCTCACTGAGAGGAAGCATGGTGGCTTCCCTTCCCTTATAGCCCCGTACCTGCTAGGGTGCCTTGGAATACACAGTGTGTACTCCTTGGATTTTTTTTTTAACTGAAAATCAACTTTGACAACAGTTTGAGAGTAAATTAGAGTGGAACAAGACTGTAGGTAAGAAGACCAGCCTGACTTTGCAGGTGGCTGCAGTGGTTGTGGTCACTAAGTTAAAAGACCATGAGGACCTGGACCATAGCAGTGGCATAAAACAAGGGAGAGGTAACAAATGCCTAACCAGATGTAGTAGGTGTGGGAGAGGTCAAAGGTTAACAATTCCTAGACTTCTGGTGTGAGTGACTAGGAAATGATATTCACCAAAATAGGAAGTACACGAGGAGAGTTCTGCCTCAAGCCAGTGGGTTTAGGGTTTCTGTGAGCCCCCAATGGAGCTAGGCAACTGGTTATTTGGATTTGGAACTCAAGGCACAGAAAAGATTTGGGAGGCGAAAATATGTAGGTGATGGTGGATGCTCAGAAGGAGTCTCTATAGTGAGAGCAAGCAGCATGAGAAGCATTGGCTCTGGCAACTAAAAGGACGTTGGAAATCTTTTTTTTTTTTTTTTTTTTTTTGGGGGGGTTTTT